TTTATCTCTGGTGGATTAAATGAAGAACTCCTCGTTCTTCGGGTTGGTGTGTGATCAAACAATTTTATTTTATTTTTGTGGTTTGATTTGTGGTTTAATGTGAAAAAATATGGCTTGATCAACAAATCAAAGTATGGATGAATTTATGGCTCAAATAATATGGTAATTGAATCTTGGAATCAATGAATGTGTTTTGGATCTTCAAATGAATATTTTCTTTGAAAAAATATGACTCCACACTTTTTAACGTCTCATAAGGTGTATATTTATAATGTGTAGCGTTTGTGATGAAAAGGAACTCAAAATCGGCTTAAAAATGAGTATTACTATTCCTCGAATAATTGGGCTGCTCAAGCTCTAGGACAGCTACAGACGAGCGACATCTGAGCAGTCGTTAGTATTTTTATAATAACTTTCTCTTCCGATTTTCGATGAGGTGATTCAAAATTCGTTAAAAAGCTAACTCAGTGAAATACAATTTTTCTAGAATAGCCTTGTCCAAATTCTAATGTTTTCTATGTGAAAAATGCATTGGAAGTTGTGACTAAGAATTTAGAGCATAACTTGTGTGGCTCTTTGACACTCTTTAGATTTCTAATTGCATTTCAATGATCATATTTGATCTTTTTGGACATCTTGGACTTCTTCAAAACCTATACTACCAATTTCAACTATTTTGCTATAATTAAAACTCAATAACTCCTATTTTGACTTTGATTACAACTTGATAAATTTCTAATATAATTCAATTGGGACATGATTTCAATTAAGGAAATTACCCATTACTACTTTTCTCCTCTCATTTTTAACAACGCAATCTCTAAAAAAATCATTTTTCACATTTCTTAATAATTTTTTCTACTTTTTAAATTTACGTTATGTAAAGAAATCATTTTTAAAAACACAAGCACTTAAAAACTCGTTTGAAGTTTTATTTGAACTTTAAGAGTTTGTTCAATTGGCTTTATTTTCCATAATAAATGTCATTTTTTACAAAAACTCATACTTTTGAGATGTTTGATTGACAGTTTTTTTATGAAAAATATTTTCCAACTTTTGGTCATATGACCATATTTTTCTTAAAAATAAAGTAAATATTTCTTTAGGGGGTGATGGTTTTTATTTTCCATATAATTCACACACACATCCATTTGATGAAACTCATTTAATTAAAAGAAATTTTTAATTACTTGATGGTATTATTTGAAAATATGGATGTTAGTCGAAATTTTGAGTTGAAGGTGGCAGTGGTGGTGTATTAGAGGTGATGACTGGTGGTGGATTGTTGTGCTGGTCAGTGGTGTAAGTGAATTTGTTTGTGGTGACCATTTGTGATCAAATGTGTGTGTATTGTGATTGATAATGTCCAATTTTGTGTTAATTGTGATCGATTGTGACTTGATCATATACGGTCATAATTAAGATTCGATTGGTCACAGACAGTCACATTTAACACAAATTTAGTCACAGTTAGTCACATTGAATACAAACTTAATCACAATTAGTCACAAATGAGACCTGTCAGCGGCTTGATTATATAAGGTGGCTTGAAATTGTTCCGATTATTTTTTTAGGAGGTGGAGGCAGGGGTGGGATGGTGATAGGTGAATCCATAGGGGTGGGGGTGTGATTCCCAATTTTTAATATTCTGGAAATCTTTAAAAATTCGGAGCGGCCGTGCAGAACATTCATCGGAGCGGTCGTCGGAGCAGTCGCTGGAAAATTAGTCGAAGAAGTCGCCGGAGCACCGCCGAGTGATCGACGAAGCTGATGGTCGTCTCCGGTGGAGAGGTGGAAAGAGGTGGTGTAGTGGGGTGATATGATGTGGTATGTGAGGTGGCATGGGTAGAAATAATTAATATATATTATATTATATTATATTATTTAATAAATTTATTTAACACTTGATTTTTGAAATATTTTAATATGTTTGTTATTTATGAAATGTGAACTTAAAAACTAGGATTTATGTATTGTTACCAAAAAATAATTATAATTGATCAACAGGAAATGATTTCCTCAGGCCCTAATGGCAGTACACGCACTACAATCACATGTCCAATTGTATCCCGCCAACATGTTTTTATGTTTTATTATACATCACAACCACCCACACCCACCTTGTTTAGTGCACGAGTTTCATACATCTTGGGTAACTTACTAATCTTATATATCATTTCCAAAAATAATGTCCTTATTCAATTTATACATTTCTTTTGAAGAAGTTGAGCGGATTCAATCGAATTTGACAAAAATCATAGTTGGTTTACTCAACTCGAATCTATCATGGTCAATTTTGACATTATTATGGATTGATTTTGACCAATCTAATCGAATATGGAGGTGTAACAACATTAGATTGGCTGTTTACCATATTTTGGTGTGACCTAAACATAGCTCTCATGCATTGGACATGCGTTTGGAGAGGCTATTGGGCCAACACATTTTCATAAATTTTACATTTTTAGCCATTTTTCGAAATGAAGAAACATAAAAATACAAAATGTATGATGGGATCGCTACCCAAACTCGGCACAACATGTTTGAAGTGACACAATGTATTTGATCAAATAAATAATCAAGTCGAATTTCATAACAGTTGACTTAGGCTAAGCTCTCATTATACTTAATGTTTATGCGCTTAGGTTATTCAGATAGAGTAGTGTTATGTAGCCCTATTTGGGTTATAACTAGAGGTGAATGTTGTTCGATTTGGGCAATTTGTGTCATATTTTCAACTAAAACCATTTCACTCGGTTTAAATTTTTTTTCACACCGAACCAAACCATTATTTACGATTTGGTTCAGTTTTAATTCATGATTTACCTATCAACATTATAATAATTTATTTAAAACAAGTTAACATATAAATTTAAACGATAACAAACAATGTTAAATTACATTTATTTTTCTCTGAAATTTAAAATACAAACAAAAATGAGAAAAAGTAATAGCAAGTTAGCATCGGCAACATGTCAATAACTTTCTCCAATTAAACTTTTACAAGCAAACATTATAGAAGCGGCAGCACCCCTTCATGATTCATAAAAATTGCGATTGATAAAGTCAGTCACATTATGCTAGTTTGGTTAAAACTCCTTTCGTCTTATTAGTGAGATGAAAAATAGGTACTGAACATTATATGCTTAGATGTACAAAAATTGATAAGAGTTCAAACTTTTTGGGAATTGGCGAATTTCATTATCTAACTACTTTAAAAAAGCAGAAATTGATAGTAACAACTAGGGAACTTTAGAGTAATGTTATTCATCCCCACTAGGGATGAAAACACAGTTTAGGTGGCGCTAAATGATAGGTGAAATGAAATGTGAAATTAAATGAGTCATTTAATTTCACCTTTCATTTTACCTATCATTTACACTTATTTAATTTCACATATCATTTAATACCACATTAGCGCCACCTAGACTGTGTTTTCATCCTCACTGGGGATGAAAAACATTACACGGAACTTTAATATTGTCACACAGCCAATACTCTCTATTCTTTATTCTTTTCAAACCACAAACAAATACATTAATTGCCCAGGCACACAAACAATCATTTTTATGTCAAACTCGCAAATGTATAATGAGTTTAAAAACAACAAATATTTAAACCAATGAAGACAACTAAGTAAAGAATCTGATTGAGAGTAAAGAAAGTAATGAATACTCAATGAAAAATATACAAATAATGAAAACTTAATTATCAATAGAAGAAATAATGTGGGTAATTTTAGTTTAATTTAGATATCAAGTCAGCATGTGTACAGTGGATTTGTAAAATCATGGGCAGTAATATGAACCTAATTTCCTTTATAAGATTATTTCAATTGGCTGAATGTAATTTTTATTCTTAAATTGGTATTTTCTGAAAAATGAAAACTATAAAATCTATATTTTAATTAAATTATTTTTTAATTAAAAGTAAAAAAATAGTTCGGTTCGATTTTGTGCAGTTTTTAAAATCAAAACCTAAACCAAACCATTTTGAATCCTTTTAGTCTGGTTTCAGGGAAAAATATCCCAGGTCCACGTGGACCCAACCCAATGAGTTTAGTTCGATCTGCGATTCCACGATTATTTGTGCAGCTCTAATTATAACCACAGTTTATATAGTGTTAATGTGATATTAAATGATAAATACAATTAAATGGTTATTTAATTCTACATTTCATTTAACCTATCACCTTACACTACATAGACTGGTGTTACAATACCAATTGGCTAAATAACATTATTCATTCATATATATTTGGTAGAGATTTTCTTTAAAATCATTTTAGTCACGTACCTGTTAGATTCATGACTTTTTTGTAGTTTTAAGTCACACATTCTCTCACTAGAAAAATCTTTCCAAATCAAATGCTTTGCTCAACGACAAGGTTTTTGTAGATTATAAATATCGTGGATAGTACAGTTCTACCTTAATACGTGCATTCACAAACATAGCCAGAATATCCTCTGCCCTTTTCTGCACCATAGCCATTACAAAAAATAATGTCCCCTCCAACACAATCTCTCTATACCGACAAGTCCAAATCCTACGACAATTACACTCACACACGCATGTTTCTTTATCTCTTCATTCTATCCTTAATGGAATTTATGTCGCAAATAAATATAAAAGGAAAACTTGTAAATAAAAAAGGAATTAAGATGGGAAGGAAGATACCGGAGGTTGAGATACAAAACTTGTCTCCTATTCACCTTCAACCACTCAAACCACTTACCCACAATGTCTTCCATATCGTTATTTATTTCAAGCCCAGTGTTTTTTTCCTTTTTTTCCTATCACCTAAGAATACGAGTTTATGATTGTTAAAAATCAAACATTTTTTTAAACTGGACTGTGGTATTCTTGGATTTTTTAGGGTTTGTTGTTGGTATGTGTGTAAAAGTTCAAAGAATTTTTGATTTTCTTGACCTGGGTTTTTGTGGGATTTTGTTTTTTTTTTTTTTTTTTTTTTGTGTGGGCATTAGAGTTTGGACAAGAAGATGAATAGGGCATCTTTGGATTTTCATCAATCCCATACTGCCAAGGCAAAGCTCAAATATCAAACACTTGCGAATGAATTCTTGGAATTGCAGAAGGTTAGTTTTATTTTTTAAGGTTTTGTTTTGATTTTAGGTTTAATCAAATCTTGGGGTCCTAAAACCCTAAAGTAAATTTTTATTATCATTATTACGATTCTACATGTAACTCTTGATTTATATAAGGGAAAATTGCAATCACGGTAACAAACATTTCACCTTTATGCAGGTTTTGTCCAAATTTTTCATTTGTATAAAGGGAAAGTTGCAGTCACGGTACCAAATATTTTACATTTATGCAGACTTTACCCAAACCTTTCATTTGTACCACCATGAGTAGGGTTGTAAATGGATCGGATCTGCCTATATCCGATCCGATAATCCAACGGATATTTGATTATTAAATTCATATTCGATTTGTTATATTATAGGATATTCGATAGTGTTACCTTTTTTTTATTTTTCTTTTTTATGTTAAAATTTTGAAGTCACCATTTTGTCCTTTGTTGATTTGATCAAAATAATTTTTTTGAGTCAACTAACAGTCAAACCAATGGTTTCCATCCATTTGGAGTTGAGCTGCAAATTTTTTGAAGGTTTGGTACTCATGGTGGTACAAATGAAAGGTTTTGGCAAAGTCTACATAAAGGTGAAAGGTTTGGTACCATGGTTACAATTTCCCCTTCATATACACATAACGGTGACATATGATTTGGACTAGAATTTCTTCATCCAAATAATATAATAAATTCTTCCACTCTCTTTTTTACGCTTCATTTATATATAAATCATTATATACAAGTAACACTAATTTTATTATTATTATGGTCAAATTCTTGTAAGTTTTATTGGAAGTGGTTTATATGAATATTTAAAATTGCGTCTGATTTTCAAATGTAACCGAAGCTTATCGAAAATAACAAAATCTCGTAACCACTCAAAACTTTTTGATATGAGAGAGACAATAAGTTTGAGAAACTTATTAAAACTTTTAAATTCAACTAATTGTCTTAACTCATAAGACTTACATCTCATATTTAAAGCTGTAAATAAAATTTGGATAATAACTAAACTTTTAGATAACGACTAACTATAAATAATGATAAGAATTAAGGATAACGACTAAGCTAATTAAAATTAAGAAAATTATTCGGAATAACTAAAAATGCGTTTTTGGAGCCTGAACGATTGAAATGGGCTGAAATGGACCGTACATGCGAAGCGGATGAGTTTTGCTCATCGGGCCATTTCTAGTCAAAACGAGACACAATTCTTGAAAACTGACATTCCAAAAGTTACTTCTTTTGACCTCGATCCCACTTTTACATGAATAATACTTCTTCTTTGTGTATTGAAACATTTTTCATGACTATAAGCATAAACTATTATCTGATATTGTTATCAGGAATTTGTTTCAAAGAACAGGAAATTCAAGGCTGCAAAGCGAAAAAGAGATAAATTTTTTGCTGAAGTCAGGTATGATTTTTGCATAGCCAATTTGAGTGTTTGATGATTGTTTTCTCTTGTCATAGTAAAAATTTAAAAGAGTAATCTGATTGTCATCGATATTGAACATTGGAACTGGTGAATTTCAGATTTTTGAGGCGAAGACATAAAATTTTATGTAGAATAAAAGATTCAAATAAGGGGAAAGATCTTCTCCATTTGCAAAATTCAGATGAAGAAATCAATGCCGTTGAAGGGGAAAGAAATCATAGTGCCTCTGAAGCTGCAGCTGAAAATTCAGACGCAAATCTGGTCTCAAATTCTCACGTGGTAATCAAGTTGATTTAAAGAATGTAGATAAATAAATTCTTAGTCATCTTTAAGCGTAAATTGGTTCAATAATGCAAAGCTCCTTTTCATACCATGTCACAGAAAAGTGAGGAGGATGGAGGACGACACCAAGTTCTTGAGAAGGAACCTAGATTTGGCAACGGGCCGAAGAGTGGCTTAATTCATGATAAAGTAGTCGGCAAGAGGAAGATCTCACAGCTTGATCAGTACACTCTTCAGTTCTAATATCAGTGCAATTTTCGGATAAGCAAACTCTGTAGTTTTTATTTGCTAGACATAGTTAATCGTTGTTCGCCATTGTTCTAATAGATTGCTGGTCCAACTCAATCTTTCACCGTGATGTTCATGTTCTCTTCATTGAATGCAATATATAAAATCAAAATTTAGTTCGTCGTATATAGGGTAAGAACCCTCTAAAGCAGACACTTTGGAATTTCATTTGTGATCATATGGAAAGCTAGAAGCTCTTCATGCGTCTGGTTTTTTCTTTGCCCAACCTCTTACTCGAGACAAGTGTAAACTTGAGAGAAATGTAGCAGATAGGCTAATATATGTAAATTTTGCAGAACCCTGCTCTAAATCAGTAAGTATGTTTGACATATGGTTAGCAGTCCGACAATAATATCTCTGTAAATTTGTCAAGCTCTATATCTAATAAGTGCGTTTTACACACTTATTTGAGGTGTAAAATATCGATATTTGACCATTCTTTTGATAAAATATATCCTAAATTGTTGTATTTTATGTTATATATGTTAAAATCAATGGTTGAACGAGAAATTGGAAGAAACAAAAGAAAATCAAGGAAAAATGGCAAATTCCAAAGTTTGATGACCAAATTGCAAATTCAATATTTGATTCGGTCCACAAGATGATATTTTGAAGATTGATAGGAGACAATTGAATGGAATTAGAACTCAAAAAGGAATGGAATATGATCAAAATATTATCACAATCAATGTCCAATCACAAATGTTATATTCCAAATTTTTAGTCGAATATTAATACCAATTTTTGGCACTGTAAACGTCCAAATTGGGAAAAAAAATTATTTCTATAAAAATTGTAGCCCTTTGAGCTAGCTTTTTAACGCACTTTGAATCGTCCCAATCGAATATTAGAAAAGAAAGTTATGGTCAAAATACTGACTGCTGTGTAGAGAAAAAAATTCGCGCGCGAATGAAACTTTTCTTATTCGATTAGAACTCTTTTGGAAACCAAATTGGACGTGATTTTCAACCAATTTTCGACGCCTACAAATATATAACAACAAAATACTTGAAAAAGGAGATGGGAGAAGACTTTTGAGAGAAGAAAAGAGGCAAGAATGTGAAGATCAACTCCATGAACACGAAGATCCAATTCAAAAATCGAATTGGTGATGTCGTTCTTTATTTATTTTTCTGATTTTCTTNATGCTTCAATAGGTGTGAATGAAGTATGTTCTTCTCGAGATGGATCGCATCCTCCGGCCAAAAGGGTATGCAATCATCCAGGAGACCAGCTACTTCGTGGATGCTGTTGCTACCATGGCTAAGGGAATGAGATGGGGATGTCGTAAAGGAGGCACATAAATTAGCTTCTAGATAGCAAAGATATTAATTTGCTAGGTATTCTTCCAAGCAAAGTTCAAGATGATGAATGAAGAATATATTCATAATACTTTAGGAGATAGTTAAGTTATATAGAATCTTACAGAAATCACATGTTATGTAAAATATTGAAAATCAAAACATTTGAAAATTTAGCCACCCAATATGGCTCCATGCTTTTTTAAGGTTGTTGTTTACGAAAATATGTTCGCTTTGTAAATCACCGCAAGTGCACGGTTTGTTAACAAGTAATAAAGTGAAAATTGTAAAATTTCGAGTATCGTCCCAAGATGATTGATTTGATTTGATTTCTATTATCAAAACCTTAACCGAATCTATTAAACTCAAGATGGTTGGAGATTTGAATTTTATAACTAAACTATGACTAACATGCAATTTAAACTAAAATTACGAACTAAATGTAAATGTAATGGTTGAATGCAAAAATAGAAGAAATTAATGTATGAAAAAGCGTACTATGATCCCGAATCACTAAGCAAGTTCACCTTTAACTTCTATTTCACAATTTGATAACACGATGAATTAGTTGAATAATCAATGTTTCTAACATATTCAATAATCTCTTTCGAGTAGAATTGAACATATTGTCACATACCATTTGACTATATTTCTATGACAAATGCAATATACAAGAATGCATGACGTTTTGTACGTAATGCATATCGGTATATTTCTATCTTTTATGAACAAAACGATTATACATTGTTAAGTTTATTTCCCTTCTTTCGAATGCATAAAATAAACCACCCAAATTCACACAATTATCGTGCACTATAATCATGGAGGCAAGAAAGTGTATATAAATCATTCAACCCCCATCAAACGTGTTTGAATATCAAATTGCAAAATAGAAATTAAAAAATCACAATGCGAGGTTCATCATTCACCTAGTACATAAAAAGTCTAGCCTAACATGGATAAAATAAAATAATAATAAAAGTAATAAATAGAAGATATCACCAAAGAACTAGAAGTTAAAGCTTGAATCTTGAAGTGAAACCCTTGTTCTATCCTTTCTCCTTGCTCTTCAATGGTGTTTTTCTCTCTAAGAATGTGTAAACCCTAATTCTGGATGATTTTAAGGTTTAATAGATTCCCCAAGTATCATTCCATAAGTGGTTGGATCGAAAAAGGAAACAAAAATTTCTCGCGCCAAAAACATACCATGCGATCGCATGGTAGAAGCTTTTTGCTTCTAGTGCAATTTGGTCCCCAACTTTCTTTTCTTATATTTTTAGACATTGTTTCCTCTTCTTCCTCCTTCTAACTATAAAAATTAGATCCTTAGTGAGATTCCAAGCTTGATTCATCATTCGGGTAATCTTTTGAGTAATTACATTTTAGTCCCTGAACTTTTATTGTCTTCCAGTTTGGTCTTTTTTGTCCTTTTTTCACCTACATCTCGTTCTTTCCATCAACGTAGTCCTAAAAACACCATATATATATATATATATATACACACACACACTAGATGCAAGCAGCGTGCAATGCACGTTTGCTTAGTTTATATTTAATATTTTTGTTT